CTCGTAACCTGCGCACTCCAACACTTATGTGCACTTCGACTGAATCCACACTTCACAGAGGGGCGTAGGGTGCACGCTGAACATTGGGACTGGGCCTCAACTATGAAATGGTCTATTAGGTGCGTATCATTTTCAGCCTGGGTCACAAGGGTTTGTACTCTATTTGAAGTGGGGTGTTGGCCCAATGCTTCGCTGAGATCCTGCAGCTAAACCTGATTAGTGATGCACAAAAAGCAAGTTGCTTCACTTCCAAAAGACAATCATGATAAAGAGAGCGACTCAGCAGAACTCAGCTCGGTCACTTCTGCCCCGATCATTGCCTGGCTGACTGATAAGGAATTCACCAATTCTGAATTGGTGTTTTACTCTCAAAGACACTGCTCAGAAAGTAAACTCATTTTGCCCATTTTGAAATAGAATGCCTCGGCATTGCTCATTTTCAAACTTAATTACTGTTTAAACTGCTTTTAAACATAAGAGTTTAGAATTGTTTTAAGACGGTAAARGYCTTTGGAAATGGCCCCACTTAGAYAGCTATTRTTAGGATTGACAACAACGTAAARGTTTATAAATCAGTGTTTGCATGAATGATTATTCAAAAGATTTGAGCTGTTTTGAGATAGCTGTTAGCTTGACGTGTTCAGTCCGAATGAATCTCCATTTCTTCAAAACTGAGGTCACACACAGAAACATTTTACAAAAGGTAAGATGCCATTTCTTCCCCTTCCAACTGGCCAGAATATCCTTTTACCGTGTTTTGTTTCTTCAGCGCACCAGCCAAAGATCCCCACAGAGATTAGCGTGAAGGCATGACCTCCTTCACAAGATTCCCCCTCCCTCTGCTGCAACTCCACAAACAAACACTCTGCCACCATTAGGCTGTGTGGGAGTCTGTAGTAAAGCTCAAAGCCTGGATAAACGTAATGTATTTTCTTTAACTAATTAATGGGTTTAGAGACACAGTAAATCAAGCCTCAGATTATGACATGTTCAGTCTTTTTAAACTAATTAAAGTGGCAAAAATACTACAAGGAACTCCGTGTTATGTAGCACCAGCTGATAGGTGGATCATCTGGGCAACATGCATTTTGTTAACTATCAGTGCTTTCTTTCTGGCCTTTTCTGTTGTTTTATTTTTTCCATTTAAACCAAAACTGTTCAGTCATCTGTGTTGGAATTTATATGTAATATTGTTGCAGTTGTGAAGTACGAGAAACTGTAACAGACTTATTTCTCCCATCGAAACCCTCAAACATGAATGTTGAATATTAATTAACTGTTAACCTCACTTTGTGTTGTGTATTATCTTTTCAGTGGATTTGTAGTTTGTCGACGTTCTAAGTGTTTTCAGCTCAAGTACTCTGCTAGACATAGCCCAGCTTGTCTTGTGGCCTTCCTCTTTAATGTTTAAGTGCCATTAAATATTTTCTACATGATAAAAAAACAAGATTTGTTTTGCCAATATGTAAACTGGAAGTAAATAAAGAAAACAACTGTTGCAAAAAAAAAAAAAAACCAACAACTCTTTGTATGTGTTTTATTTGTGAGAGCAACCTTTTTTTTTGGACATTTCTTTAACCACCATGAGGTTCTCGGCTGATACCTGTTGGCTTTTGTTTAAGCCTAATGGCAGTTCCACATCAGTTTAGGATCACCTTGTCTCCTGTACCTGTTAAGCTGGGGAAACAGGCGTGACATGAGCAGCTAATAAGGCAGGCTGAGTGGGATTTTTAGACTCTGTTGGCTCTGATCAAATACCTGCAACAGGTGGCATTAGCCACACTTAACGGATGAGGAGGCCACAAGGTCGCGTGTGACGTCACGCTCCCCTGAAAGCCTCCAGCCAATCACAAACAGCTTGGGGGAGGGGCGGGGGCAGGGGAACAACAGGCTTTATAGTGGCTACAAATTTGTTCAATAACAGGTGATGATCAGAATAAAATCAGAATAAAGTATTCAAACCGCTGAGTGAAGTTAAAAATAAAAAAGACTGAATACTTTTGTTTGAGAGAATAAAATAATTCATGGCCCTGCTTGTTTTAGCCTGGTTAAAACCAGACCCTGTCCTTCACTTTGCTTCGTACAAGGGTCTGGACTTGATGCACAGACAAGCGTTTCTTGCAG